ATATAATCCAGTTTGATGAACCGTTTGATAACATATTCTTAAATGTATAGGTTGTTCGGAAAGTAAATTCGTTTTTTCCCGACAGAGGATTTAATTGTATTTTTTTGCACTCAACTTCACGCTTAAGCCGCATAATCATTATGTTTTGAGAGCTGATATAGCAAGGCTTGTGTGTGAAAAAGTTTTATTGATTCTACGCAGTAGTTTTTGGTTGGTGTCCTTTTAAATATGGAGAGCAATCAGCAGCATTTTCGTCATATTTTACTTTTTTACTATAGAAAAGGTAAAACTGCTGTTTAAGACAGAAAGAAATTAACCGATTGGTTGACAGTACGCCAGTGCCAGAACTGGTTTGCAAAATTTCGAAACCGGTAATTTTGATGTCGAAGATGCACCAAGTTCTGGAAGGCCGGTTGAAGTTGGTAAAGACACGATAAAGGCATTAGTTGATGCAAACAGGCGAATAACAACACGTGAGATCGGTGAGAGGTTAAATTTATTAAATTCAATTGTTTATGACTACTTGATAGGCCTGGGTTTAATCTCGAAGCTCGATAAATGGGTTCCCTATGTTTTCACGGAGAGAAATTTGTGTCGTCGCGTTGACGTCTGTGGTTCGTTTCTCAAACGTTACGAAAATGATCCATTTTGGAAGCGCATCATTATTGGGGACGAAAAATGAGTTGTATATAACAATGTCAAACGCAAGAGATCATGGAGCAAAAAAGATGAACCGGCTGAAAGCATTTCCAAATATCCATCAAAAAAAGATGATGCTATCTGTTTGGTTGGATTTTAAAGGAATCGTTTTTTTTTAGATTTTACCGGATAAAACAATAATTAATTCGGAAGTCTACAGAATTAATTAACAGAAAAGGTGTAGTGTTCCACCAAGATAATGCGAGACCTCATACAAGTTTGGTCTCTCGTCAAAAGCTTTTACAGCTTGAATGGGATACATTACAATACAATGCCACACCCACCATATTCTCCAGATCTGGTACCTTCGGGTTATTATTTGTTCCGGTCACTGCAGAATTTTTTAAACGCTAAAACCTTAACTTCAAATGAGGAGGTCAAAAACCACCTCGATCAGTTTTTTGCCAGCAAAGACCAAAAATTTTATGAACGTGGAATCATGCTACTACCAGAATGATGACAAAAGGTATTGGACCAGAATGGCCAATATATAATTTAATAAAATATTTGTTCATTATACGAAAATTGTCTTTCATTTTCACAAAAAAATACGAAATTACTTTCCGAACAACCCATTATATGATCTTTTGTTTGCTTATTTTTTTGCTTATTGTTTGCTTATTTTGTTTCGCTAGTTCCACGTCGTGGGATCGTGGAATCGGAAAGGAATAATTAATAAGTATGATCATTTTACTGACATTTAAACAATGTATCATATATGTAGTATAATTATTCAATATTTAAACATTAGGATGTTCTAAGCAGCGTCATGAATGTTATATATATGTAATATAATATGCAATCGATTTAAAATTGAAACGCAGAGAAAACTTTTCTATCATATTTATATTCGCTGTCGTTCATATTTTTATTCTTATATACTTTTATTAATTACTATTTCCAAATCTTGGATGGGACCTACAGGATGGACCCATAGTTGTGGGATTTTATGTGAGCTGTTGTCTCAGCATCGTGTAGAACTGCGTCTCTTTCTTTTATTCTTTTATTCCTCTGGCTCTCTTTTCTTTTCTTTCTCCGATTCTCTTTTCTATATCATATTTTCTCTCTTTCTCTTCTTTATCTTCTCTTCTTCTTTTCCAAAATTCAACGTCGGATCATTGTGGGATCATCGTGGGCTCGTCGAGGGATTATCGAGCGATATTCAATATATCCACCTCAAGTTCCGAGTTTTATCATTGGCACCTACTCGCACGTCTCGTCTATCTTTTCTTCTCTTTCTCTTATTTTCTCCTTATTTTCCTCTTCCACATTATTGATTATTGAAGGATATATTTAACTGGATTCGTATAAGCTCAATGTATTGTCGTATGGCTGATTTATCGTAGATTTTTACGCGAGAATACGGGAAATATATGGAGAACACTAGCGGGCATGTCGGTGAGCATATGCGTGTGTGATCACGGGCGCGATTTAACGATTTTTCGAACATTCCTGGATTATAGAATAGAATCATTGTTATTCTAACATTCGGGTGGGCATTCGGCAGCGTTTGAAGAAACTATCGTGGACTTCGTTTTATTTGCTCAAAATTTCGATTAGATTATCTCGCGAACGCGGATTTTAGAAAAAAATCAGCCTTATTTTAACACATACGTGAGTATCATGGACGCGATTAAAAATCCTAACGAGGCTTTTATTGTTCGAAATTCGAAAACCATGAACGATCGTGCTTCATAATTCGTTATGTCTGACGCTGAGGGTATTGGACAGTGGAGTTATTTATAAGAGCTGTCCAATCCATTTCCTGTTAGTAGACAAAACTGAAAGCACCCGAATTAGAAAGTCATAGCGCACGGTATTGCGGAAGATGGATTTTAGAGTAAAGTAGATTCAGCGTTAGCACGTGGGATTCCATATGGAGCAACTTGCACGTAATAAGACTTGGATCGATATTTCTTGCGAAGTCTAATTGTAAATTATGTAATGCAAGTACTATCGTGCGAATGGTTTCATGTCTTTATGCGTTTTCATAAGTTTTCCTTCTGATATCTTATTAGACATTAAAGTATTCTTATTTTACAAAGCTAATCATATTACAGTAGATAAAGATAAGATTAGACGTAAAAGAATTCCAAAATTATTTCTTAGATAATGTTCTGAAAATTTCCGATATCTTATTACTTTTATTCATTTTAGTGTGCTCTTAATTATCTTAGTTTGTATATCTTGATCGATCGAAAAATTATACCGTTTAATAACCACGCATGCAGTAATTAAAACAAAATGTGGCTTGTCTTGAATGAATTAAGTCTTTCTTTGTCACAGTCCGACCATCACTTTTTCATAAAATATAAGATAATGAAAATTTCAGAATAGGATTAAGAGAAAAAAGGACGAAGTTAAGATAAACAAAAGATGAAGACGAGACGGCAGGAGGCTCGCGTTGTTGCTCCATGGTAGGGATATGCATTTCCATTGTTTACAGTTGTGCCCGGTATTCGATCATGTGAACAGTTATTCTTAATATCCACCTTTCGAATTTTTGTCGATAATTATAGATAATTTAACTTTTCATTTACGTTACGTTTCTTGTTATCTGATAGTGTTCAGCTTAATCATTTATATTTTATTAATCGTATGTTCTGCTATTATTTTCGTGATAATTTGTTCGTTTTTACGTGGTTTTAGTCATTAACCGTACATTAAATAGCCTTAATTTCAGGTTATATTAGATTTTTACATACATTCAAATATTGACGCGAATTTTATTGAAGATTATTCCAAGAGTATGCGAGGTAAATAATACTTCAAATGTTTTTGCGGTGAACGATGGATGGGCAAGCAACGGCAATTATTCATGCTATGGATACCAGCTCGATAAGTCCTCGTACCGTCCTCGTTGATTTCACCTAATTGGTAGATTGTTCCATTATACACACTTCTCATATATAACAATTAGTAATTAAAAACGCGACATATAAGGGATCGCGATCGCAAATTTAGGCATTGTCGCTTTAAAAGATATTCAATAAAATGAAATCAATTTGCTGAGCAGTTTTCCACTTGAGAAGAAATTCACGTAGATTTTGTAATAGTAATGCAGTACTTAGTACATGTTTTATTCTTGTTTAATGCCAGTAATACGAAAGATACTAAGAAACGAACGGAGAGTGTACTAAAAACAATACGTGGCAACACGCTTTCCATGTGGGAAATAAAATACCTTTCGTTTGGGCCGATCGTCATTTCTCTGACAGAGGTATGACAGTGAATCTTCCAGAATTGCGTTAAGAATAAAAAGAAAAAATATAAGCAAAAGAACCGGACCACACGACAAGACGCTACTTCACAGATAAATAGATAGGAATTAGTATTATGCTAAAATAATTTTTTAATAAAACTTTTCTGTCGCACTCATTTCATTGTCATTTCTATTTATATTTATTTACTCTCCTATTAAATATTATTTATGTCTCGGTACGACCTTTGTGAATAGGGTTGCATCTCTTTAACCCTCTATGGACTCGTGTAACTTTCAGATCACATTTTAATTTATTGAGATTTTACCAAATAATTATAGCTTTTTTCATGAGATGGCGCATAAATGTTAATTCTATAACGTTGTCAAGACAACCAATATAATATTTATGACCGTTGCTAGGCTCATCAACTTGAAATAACAAAGTAAATGTTGTACAAGCTGCCTGCAGTAAATATAAGCAAAATCATTTGATCGAATTGATATTATTTATGCATCTGTCAGTGATTACGAAACTAAAAATAGTGCACATAATAGCTCTGGGTTCGTATATCAATAACAACCTATTTGTTTGCATTTCAATTTTCAATTTGTTACTGTTTTTTATGATACAGTTTTGTAACTTTAAGGTCACAGTGGGCTATTATGGCAGATTTCGGTACATTTAGAATAAGCTTGTGCTTTCTCCTGTTTTCAAATTTATCCATTATATACCCAAAATAAGAATACAAAATCACATAGAAATAACAGAGGAATTACAATTAGACGCATTAGCGGTAATAGGTCCCATGATTCATTATTAGATTCTGAGTCCGATGAGGATGTAATAGTATTTCCCTGACGATGAATAAATGTTATTGATAGTGATGAAGAATTTAGTACTCAATCCTTGTCAGATGAGGAAGATGCAGGGCCACAAAAAATTGTTTGGCAACCACTATCCCAGACGAATAATAATAGTTGTTATCGCCCTTGGAAAGGAGATTGCCCTAACGTCCCTGAAGCACCCCATTCTTCTATGACCTATTTTTGACAACTATTTGAGAAGGAAATTATAAGCAATATAGTTGACTATATCAACATGTATGCACTGCAATGTGATCCAGCAAAACCCATTGCTATTTCAGTGAATGAAATCGAACAATTCTTTGGTTGCTGTTTTTTTATGTCCATTTACGGATTACCGAGAACTGAAATGTATTGGAATTTAAAGACAAGAGTGTCTGCTGTTGCCGATACTATGAGTCGTACGCGATGGAGAGAAATAAAATCAAAAATACATTTTAGTAGAAATTTACAGGCCAATGCAACAAACAATGCAGAAGTGACCGATAGTTTACAAAAAATAAGACACATTCTGGATAAATTGGTGAAAAATTTTAATTTCGGGGTTTCATTCCGATGTCTGAACACGAATGTGTTGACGAGCAGATTATACCGTTCAAAGGAAGATATAGGCTAAAAAACTATATGCCCAAAAAACCTAAAAAATGGGGCTACAAAGCTTTTTTACTGTGCGACTCATCAGGACTCATTTATAATTTTGAAATTTACACCGGCAAAGTGATACGTGATCCCGAATTACCTAATGTCGGAAGTAGTGATAATGTGGTATTACGTTTAGCAAAAATTATACCCAAACAATTGTTTTACAAAATTTGTTTCGACAATTGGTTTTTAACGTTGCCTTTAGTAACTGAATTAGAAAAATTAGGAATTCAGAGTGTTGCAACTGTGCGGTCAAACCGACTAAAAAACTGTGAGTTTTCGTCCGATAAAGTCATGAAAACTAAGGGTCGAGGAAGTTATGAGATACTTTCTACGTCTATTGACAGGGTCACCATAAATGCGATAAAGTGGTACGACAATAAGGCCGTTCATTTGATGAGCACGTTTTGCGAAGTTGAACCAGTAGACATAGTGAAAAGGTGGGACAAAAAAATAAACAGAATGATCGATGTACAACGACCAAATATAGTGAAAATATATAACCAACACATGGGTGGAGTAGATTTGGTTAATTCGTTGATAGCGTTGTATCCAATAAAAATTCGATCAAAGAAATGGTACCACCGCATTGAAAGAGTTCCGAAAATTAAATGTTCCAAATGTAATGTTCCTTTATGTTTAACGCCAAGTGCAAATTGTTTTGTGGAATTTCACGCTTAAGTTTCCAAACACAGAAGTGCGAACATTATAGGCCGTTGTGACCTGAAAGTCACATAATGAATATACTGCAATAAAATTGTTTAAACGGAAATTTTTTCTTCATTTGCATATATAGGTTTATAATTACTGATTTTTCGTTCCTCCAATTTTTTTGGATTTAAAACAAAAATTCGGCCCATAGTGCGTTAACATTAGATTTGCGTCAGACTGGCGTCTAGTTTCGGTCTGGTATGCGTTTTCTTGCTTTAGTTGTGTCTGCATGCGTTTTAGTTGTCTGTCAGTTACCTCATATTACATCTTAGTTGCTTCTGCAAGCGTTACATTAGTAATTTACATTTAAATGATTGTATCAGTATTGTGTCAGTGTTGCATTAATTTAAAAATATCTCTTAAATCTGATTTCAACTCGAATGTTTTTAAGTACGTACATTTTACATTGCTAATCATACTTTAACAGATATGTAGGGTGGGTAGTATTATTCAAAAATAATTTCACAGAAAACCTTTCTATCGCACTTTTTAATTGATATTCCTATTTATTCTTATTTAACCTCCTATTAATATTATTTATATGTCTCGAGCAGGAACTTTAAGAATATGATTGCGTTTGATAAGATTCTTCGGATTGTTGTGCATTTTACTTTGAAGATTTTACGCTTCCTACTTATGGGTGGCGAAATTCGCATTTTTCGCTAACATTATTCGAAAATTTGTCGTTACTCTTCGTATTTAGTCTTGGTAAAAACATTAAATTCTTGTAAAATTCTTTATTCTGCGTCGTTAGAACACGAGATCTAAGGAGTCGAAATAGATTTCCTCTTTTCGTTTATCGACGATATCCGTACACACATGAAAAATGGTATAACGTAATTAAATAAGGTTAGGAACCACGTTATCATTCAAAACTGTAGATTGATCTTATGTAATGCAGTGTGCTGTATCGTTTAGTAAGATTTTCCAAATTGTGTAGTACGTTAGTATTATGTATAATTGTTGGGAAGAATCTGTGAGAACAAGGTTTGGTGACGTTTTGTGTCTTGTATGCTCTATATTGGGTGCGCCATTATTATTTGTGTCTGCATGCGTATCAGTTGTCTTTTAGTTACCTCTTAGTTGATTCTCAGTTGTGTCTGGATGTGTCATAGTTGCATTTTACATCCTATAGCTTGAGTCTCGATTAAGTCTGTGTTACATTATTTAAATAATATTTTTTGAATATCATTCCAACTCGAGTAAACATAAGTACGTACATTTAGCATTGGTAATCATACTTGAACAGATAAATAGATAGGGTATTGTTGAATTATAAATTATATTCTTAGAAAACTTCATAAATTATTACATCCATCTTACGTACTTATTACGTCCATCGATATATTAGATTTAAATTTACATTCAAAATTAATACTTGAAATAACACAATGCAACTGATCTGATGAGGTGTACAATTATGACGCTAGCAGACGCAATTAAGAAGAAACAAAGAAGTAAATAAAATGCAACTGAAACGCATGCAGACACAACTAATACTAGCAAATATACTCCAAACGTAATCCAGACACTAATTTTACGAATCTCTATTATCAAAGATACTACACGACACTTATAAATAATAATTAATAGGAAAGTAAATAAGAATAAATTGGAATTATAATGAAATACGAGCGACGGAAAAGTTCTCTAAGAAATTATTTTAGAATTCTACTATAACCAAACTATTTATCCATTCAAGTATAACTAGCAATGTAAAATGTACTTAACTCGACATTTTCGGACTGAAATCAGATTCAAGGTATATTCTTGATATAACGCAACGTAGATGCAACCAAAAGGTTGTAAAATGTAATTGTGATGCTTACAGACGCAACTAAAAAGAAACAGAAGTAACTAAAAGGCAACTGATACAAATGCAGATACAAATAATACAAGCAAACGAACGCAAAACGCAAACCAATCGAAACTAGACCCAAACGTGACTCAACTCTATTCTTAAAGATACTACCTGCTTTTTATAAATAATAATTAAAACTAGAGTAAATAAGTAAAAATATGAGTGACAATGTTGTAAGTGCGATAGAAAAGTTTTCTAAGAATTTACTGTAGAATTCTACTATATCCAACTTTTTCACTTGTTGAAGCATGATTAGCAGGGTGAAGCACACGCATTGCGATATATTCGGGTTGGTATCTGATTCAAAATATGTACTTAAAGTTACGCAACATAGATGGATCTTAACAGATGCAAAATGCAACTGTTACGCCTATAGAGGTAACTATGAAGCAACTAAGAAGAAAAAGGCAACTGAAACTCTTACAGGCACAATTTTTGCAAAAAAACGCTCAGCAGTGGTAAACCTGACGCAAACCATACGCAAACATGACTCAAAATTATTCTCAAAGTTCCTAGCCGGAACTTCTATATAATAATTAATAGCAGATTCAATTAGAATAAGTAGGAATAACAATAAAATAAGTGCGATAGGAAAGTTTTCTAAGGTATTACTTTAGAATTCTACTATGCCCAATCTCTGTATTTGGTGAAGATTGATTAGCAATGTAATGTATTCGCACTGCGATATATTCAAATTGGAATCAGATTCGAAAGATATTCTTAAAATAATCCAACGCAGATGAAACCAAACGAAAGTAAAATGCAATTGTGACGCATACAAACGCAAATAATAAGCAACTAAGACATAACAAAAGGCAACTGAAACACATGCAGGCACAACTAAAGCAAGCGTTCGCACTATAGACGCAAACCAGTCGCATAACCGACGCAAACCAGACGCAATCTTGATGCAAACCTATTCTCAAACTCCCTCTCCGAGACATATATAATAATTAATAATAATTAATAGGAGAGAAAATTCTACTATATCCAATCTATTTATCTGTTGAAGTAAGATTAGCAAGGTAAAAGGTACGTACTTCGATATATTCGGGTTGGAAACCAATTCAAAATATTTACTTGAATTAGCACAACACTTACATAATCAATCAAATATGAAATATTTCTATGACGTTTACAGATGCAACTAAGACGCAACTAAGATGTAATTATAAGGCAACTGAAATTCATGCAGAAATACGAATAAAACAAACAAACGCACACCAGAGGCAAACCAGACGATATCCTGACGCAAATCTGGCGTAATCGATTGAGTACACTGCATTACATCAGATCAGACTACAGTTCTGAATGGAATCATAGTGTTTAACTATATTTTATTATGTTATATCATTTTTCGTACGTATACGGATATCGCCGAAATACGAAAAGAGGAAATCTATTCCGACTCCTTAGATCTTGTGTTCTAACCACGCAGAATAAAGAATTTTACAAGAATAAAACGTTTTTATCAAATTTAAATACGAAAATTAACGATAAATTGTTGCGTAATTTTAGCGAAACTTGCGAATTTCCACAAAGATAAGTGAGAATCGTAAAATCATCGAAGGAACATGCACAACACTTTGGAGAATGTTACCAATCGATTCAGCACACTACATTACTTCAGATCAAACTGCTATTTGAAACGGAATACTGGTTTTTAACATTATGTCTTTACGTTATACGATTTTTTTGTGCGTATATACCAAGCGTAGTAATACGGAAAGTTGTAAATTTATTCAATTCCTTAGATATCGTTTTCTATCGACGCAGAATAAAGGATATAAAAAGATTATAACGTTTTTACGAAGATTAAATGTGTGTATTAACATGAAAATTGTCGTATAATATAACTGAAAAATGCTAATTTTGCTATTGATATGTAAAAAGCGTAAAATCTTCGAAAGTACTTGAACCACAGATTGAAGAATAGTACCAATCGATTCATCACACTGCATTTTTTATGATCAATCTACTACTTTTATGGAAATCGTGATTTTTAACATTATTTCATTAGGATATACGAGTTTTCGTGCGTATATGCAAATCGTCGTTAAAGGCAAAGTTGAAATCTCTTTCACCTTCTTGGTTATTATATTCTATCGACGGAGAATAAAGAATATAACAAGTATATAACATTTTTACGAAGAATAAATACGTGTATTTATCTGAAAATTGTCATATAATATATGTGAAACATGCGAATTTTACTATCGATAGGTAAAAAGCGTAAAATATTCGAAAGTACTTGTACCACAGATCGGAGAATGTTATCAATCGATTCAGTACATTGCATTTCCTATCAAACTACTACTTTTATGGGACTCATGGTTTTTATCATTATTTCATTTCGTTATACGAGTTTTCGTGCATATACGCAAATCATTGAGAATCGAAGAGTTGAAATCTCTTTCAAATTCTTATATATTATATTCTATCGACGTAGAAAAAAGAATATAAAAGAATATGACGTTTTTACGAAGATTATATACGTCTATTAACATGAAAATTGTCGATAATGTATGTGAAACATGCGAATATTGTCAACGACATCGTCAACGACAAAAATCGTAAAACCATCAAAAATACTTGTACCATAGATTGGAAAATCTTACCAATCGATTCAGCTGCATTTCCTCAGATCAGACTACTACTTTTATGGGAATCGTGGTTTTTAACATTATTTCATACCGATATACGATTTTCGTGCGTATACGCATATCATCCAAAAACGAAAAGTTGAAATTTCTTTCTATTTCTTCGATATTATATCCTATCGATGCAGAATAAAGATTACAACAAGTATATATCGTTTTTACTAAGTTTAAATACGTGTATTAACATGAAAATTGTCGTATAATGTAAGCGAAACATGAGAAATTCACTACAGACAAGTAAAAATCGTAAAATCATCGAAAGTACCTGTAACACACGTTGGAGAATGTCACCAATCGATTCGGCATGCTGCATTTCCTGTGATCAAACTACTACTTATATGGGAATCGTGGTTTTTAACATTATTTCATTACGATAAACAATTTTTCGTACATAAACGCGTATCGTCGAAAAACGAAAAGTTGATTTCTCTTTCAATTTTTTAGATATTATATTCTATCGACGCAGAATAAGGAATATAACAAGAATATAACGCTTCTATTAAGATTAAATATGTGTATTAACAAGAAAATTGTCGTATAATGTAATCGATACGGTCGAATTTCGCTACAGATAAATAAAAATCGCAAAGAATCTTTGAAAGTACCTATACCACGGATTGGAGAATGTGACCAAATAAATCAGCACACTGCATTTCCTAAGATCAAACTACTCCTTTTATTGGCATCGAGTTTTTTAACATTATTTCATTACGATATACGATTTTTCGTGCGTATAAGCGTATCGTCGAAATACAAAAAGGTGCGATCATTTTCAATATCTTAGATATTATATCCTATTGTCGCAGACTTACAAATATAGCAAGAATATAATGTTTTTACAAAGATTAAATTCTTGTACTAACAGGAAAATTGTCGTATAATGTAATCGAAACTTGCGAATTTCGCTACCGATATGTATAAATAGTAAAATCTTCGAAAGTACTTGTACTACGGTTTGGTAAATGTTACCAACCGATTCAGTACACTGCATTTCCTAAGATCAAACTACTACTTTTATTGGAATCGAGTTTTTTAAACATTATTTTACTACGATATACGATTTTTTGTTCATATACGCGAATATTCGTAATACGAGAAGTTGAAATCTCTTTGAATTACTTAGATATTATATTTTATCAACGCAGAATAAAGAATAGAACAAGAATATAACGTTTTTTACAGTGCCGCATGCATTCGTACAGTTATCGTGTAAAAAGTTAAATAATGCTAGACTTGAATAAAAATTGTCAGTGTATAGTGTGTGACCTTGTCCTAAGTATGGTTGCAAGAGTGATAAAACAATTGCACCTGATCTTCCAATTCCGCTGATGTCACTTTCTGTAATAGTTGACTTTTCTTCGTAAACTATAAGGTCTTGGACATAGCTTATTTTGCAATCACAGAGTATGTATGATTTTATTCCAAATCGATTCCTTTTCGAGGGAATGTACTGCTTGAAGGATAGGTGACCTTTGTATAGCATCAAGCTTTTATCAATGCAAAGTTTTTCATACGGATAAAATGTGTCGCAGAACGATTTTCTTAGCATGTTTATTATGTCACTTATTTTATATAGACGATTATCAGCGGGCCCTTGTTGATGGCTAAAATGTATCATTTGTAGTATCCAAAGATACCGATCTCTGGTTATTACTTTACTAAAAATACTACTGCGTAAATATTTATCAATACTCCAATACTCGAGTAACGCTAGTTTTTTATTACGTGTCATGATTAGTGACAACGCAAAGAAACAGGACATTTCCTCTAGTGTCGTGTTTTTTTGAGTGTCCATGTCGTTATTGCTCTTTTGAGCTGAGTAATAATTGGTCTCATCTACAATATATTCTACGAGTTCTTGATAAAAAAACAGTTCAAAGTAATCGATAATTTTTAACGATCTTCCTATTTTCTTCTTCAGTCCTGAATTTTCTGAGGAAAATTTATGAATACTTGGTGCGAAATTTTTCGATGTCCATGTTCTGTTGCACTGGGGATCCTTTGTATTATCGTCAATTTACTCTGCTTCTGATTTTGAAGTACTGCATATATTATTTCTCCGTTGTCTTTTACACCGGTGGACATTATTTTCATTATCAGAATCGTTTACTTCAGTTTCAAACATAATACTATTTTTATGCTTTGTACTCATTCTGACAGGGCCTGAACTATTTTTGTAAATACATTTTCAAACAAAACCATAACCTGAACATTCTAATTTTTAAGAGTTAAGAATTATATCTTAAGCCGATTTATTCCTAATTCCTGTAAAAACCAAATATGTAAAATCGTTTACTGCGGAATGGATTCGATAGAATATCTGGTATAAAACAGTAAACGATCGCCTTGATGTTTGTAGTTTATTGCGTAATACGTTTGGATGTGGTTTCAACAAAGAGCAGTTTTGAAAAGTTTTAAGAAATTATTAATCTAATATGTCAATAAAATCAACGGAAAATGCTCTGCCAATAACAAAAAATGTTGCCATCGATTATAGATGGCACTTGTATAGATCATTTCGATGCCGCATATATGCGGCGCTCGTACCCAGAAGTCGTGGCGTGGATGCCGCGTATATGCGGCGCCCGTACCCACAGGTCGTCGAGTGGATACTGCATATATACGGCGCTCGGCGTGAAAGGGTTGAATACATGTATTAGCAGGAAAACCGTCTTATAAGGTAATCGAAACATGCGAATTTCGTTACCGATAATTATAAATCGTAAAATCTTCGAAAGTAATTGTACCACAGTTTCGAGAATGTTACCAATCGATTCAGCACACTGCATTTCCTAAGA